ATGAGAATAATTAAATTCTAACGAAGAATTTTATTATTTATAAGAATAATAATTGAATTCCTTCAATTAAAATTTCATTGAAAATAATTGAATTCTTGCGAAGAATTTTATAAAAATTCTTTTAAATAATTGATTTCTTTCGAAAAAATGTATTGAAAATTGTATTTTAAATAAATAAATTCCTGTAAAAAATTTGTTATTTATGAAAAATAATTGAATGTTTGCGAAAAATTTTATTAAAACTCTTTTAAATAATTAAATTCTTTTGGGAAATTTTATTAAAACAGTAGATTTTGAAAAAACTTGAATTTCAAAAGATTTTTGATAATAATTGTAACACTTTTCTAAGAATCTTATTAAAATTTTTGAGAATAATTTTTTTAACAATTTACTTAATAACGCAAAGTGAAGCAGGTACTTAATTATCTTAATTAATGATAAGTACTATGACTTCCACTTCTTTTTTTTTTGAAGTTTGGGAATATTTTATTTTTTTAATTCAAATAACTTTCGTTAATCTTTCAAATATTACATATCTTCAATAATCCTTGAAAACTGTCAGACGATCACTTTGCTATAAGTGTTAGTTTATACTCTTCCTGGCGAGAATTTTTTTTTCTATAAAAAAAATTTGTTCCTTTTGTTCCTTAGACTCTTTATGGCACACGTTTAGAAATTTTGTTTCATTTTGCAATCATATTTCATCATTTAAAGATTTTTTTATCCCATTCATTCAAATTAGCTTCCCTATTTACGCATGTGCGAAATTTATGACTTGAGTCTTAAAGAATTGTATAAAGAATTAAAAAAAAAATCGCATATTTCGAGAATTTATTTAGGACTCTTCTAATGAAATAAATTTTTATTCTCGAGTTAATTTTAGCCACTTTTTAATTTTCGTTCAGAATCGTTTTTTAGTTTCATTTCAGTTTTGAACTTATTGTGATGATAATTAATAGCAAGAAACTTTTTCGTTTCAATACGAAACTCGAGTGTGCGGATGTACAGTGTATACGAACGTAACCGGTTTTTTATAATAGATTAGGACTAGGTATTTGACCTATCACTATTACATACAAACTAAACCATCATGTATATTGCGAACTACCAATCAAAAGACTGATGATACGTTTGGTATTAATAAACGGAAGTTATACACATTTTTTTTGTACATTTTATCCATGATGTGAAATGCCTTCGTGCTTTTTTTATCCCCACTAATTAGGTGTCATTATTATCAATGTAAAAACGTGAAATTTTTACGGAAATGCAATTAATGCGCTGTTATTTGTAATTCCTGTGACCAATAAAGTGAATCATATATTCATTGCGGAAAAGGAGGTGGAAAAATTATGCAATGGGGACTTTTTGTGAGCGCACAATACTGAATGTTTTAAAACAAAATACTTTAATACACAACACGTTAATTAAATACCCATCATGATACTCTAAATTTTAGTAAAAATTCTTCTCTAATGATACTTCATCAAACATTTTACTCAAATAATATAGTTTCTTTCACGTAATTTTTGAAAGAAAAATTTTATTTGCTTGAAATAAAATGTGATATTTTTAGGAAGTGACTAGTTTGGCAAATTATCGTATAACTTGCTTTCATGGAAATATCGAATAGGAAATAATGTCGTGATTGTACTTGCAAACTTTGGAACGTTTTTTCTTCGCTGTTGTGTCATAGACGATGATTCTGAAGATGACTAATTCCTTGAAGTTAACAAACTGTAGAAAATCTTTATAAAAACATCCGTTATACTCCTTGTGACGCACTTCTTCCAAATTTGATTATCTCGAATTTTTTCCCCAATTTTTTTTCCAAAGAAAAAAATATTAGATAATAGATCTGCGAATTTGCATGTAAAATTATTTAAATAATTTAAATTCATGTTCGTGTGCCAATTTGGGCTAAAAATTAGTACGATATTTTAATATTTTTGTCATAAATTTCTTGAACCAAGAAATAAAAAAAAAGGAATATAATTTGATTGGTGAAATTTTTTGCCTAAATTATATTCATGACGGCGAATATACTTTGTGAATGATGATGAAGGGATGGATCATTCTCTAAAGTCATATGGTAACAGTTTGATGGACTGAATTAGATTAGCTTTCATCTAGTTGCCGTGTAGTCGACCCGAGACTGTAAATATTGCGGGGGCACACTATAAAGTATCGTTATTCGACGGATGAGACAGTGGGTAATCAGCATATTAGACCGAGGACAGACTCGTGGTAGATGTCGCAACCTTCGCAAGACGATATGGCATATTCACATTGTTACATATGCGTATTTCATGTTGCTGTAAGTGTAAGTGACATCCTAGACGGGCTATTGTAGCGCGCACAATGCCAACGGACATTGTTATCTTTGCCAGAGAATGTGATTATATTTAAAAAAAAAAATAGAGAACAAAAATCCACGCGTTTCATTTAGTTTCCGTCTTTTGATATTTCAGGAAGCAAGTACATGGAGAATATGCGTGACTTGTAGGTTTTATGGAATTACTTCCGTTTTTGTTTGAGGTTTTCGTCCTCGATCTTTTTCTTCTTCTTTAAATTTTAGTCATTTGTTTTTTGTCTCACTTCATATAGAAAAATTGAAATGGAATTATAATATTTAATTGTTCTAATTGTCATTTTGATTATGATGCGATTTTGTCGAGAATTGCTCGACGTGCAACACTAGTTAAGGAACCTGTTAAAATTTAAATAATTACTTTAAATAAATAATAATTAATGCAATAATACTCAACAAATTATAGTTGGCATTTGTTTGGGAATTTTTAATGCTGGAAATGTGGACAACAGACTAGATTTTATCAGTTACAATCCAGATTCTACGGAGGAACATCTGGATTGATGCAGAAAAAGCTACAGATGCTTTGTACTTAAAGCTGCTTTTAAACAGAGGAGTTAATAATTCTATTGTTTAAAAGCAACTTCAAGATAAAAGGCGTTTTTGCTGTACACAACAAAACGTGACATAGAATTTTTTGCACGATTTTTTATGATACCCATCAGTAGTATAATGATTCCTGAAAGCATCGAAAGTTTGCTGAAGGTTGAAACTAATTTAACTGCAAATTTCGGAATCTTTATTAAAAAAAATTAACTGTGGATAGTTTTTATACTTTTTAACATCATTCACAAAAGAATAATTCGATATTTCTAGCCAAATTTTGATCACAAGGGTTAAATTAAAGGATAAGAAGATGTATCCACAAAATTAGGTCCCAAGGAAAATTACAATCATCTTTTTGCAATTAGCAGCATCTATCAAAATAAAATTATAGTTTCGATAGAAAGCATTAAACCGTGGGTAATTTTTTATTCTCTGGCACCATTGACAAAAGGATGAGTCGATACTTCTGGCAAACTCTTGATTCAATGGGTCTAGTTAAAAGATAACAAGAAAAGTGATTAACAAATGATTAACAAATGATTAACAAATGATAAACAAATGATAATTATCACAGATTTCATCTTTAACAGATGATTTGTTAATTTTCTGATATGTTTATCTCTTATTTGTAAAAGAAACCCGAACGATTCGTCTAATTCAAATGAATCGAGTTGTTCTCTTCCGCAAAAGAAGTTTGAATTTATAAACTGAAAACATAGTCATCATTAATGCTATTGAGCGTTGTACTGTAATTTTCAAGTTTCCGTGAAAAACACTTGACAATGATAACTATAATATTAAAATGATGCAACTCGGTAGTCGAAGGGCAGATGATTTAAACGATGCTGCAGGTTAGACTAGACCACAGGATGAATTTAGTGGCGGGAAGTGCCCTCGTTATAACACCAGTCAATTGTTTAATCTCGGTCTTGTTCCCTATAACTCACTTAAAATACTACTCGTTCTATTCACTATTACACTACGCAAAATCTCTGTTTAGTTCCTATAGGTTATTTTTCTTTAAAGTTTTTCCCTTTATGCTTCTTTAAACACTTTTTTCTTCTGGTTTTTTTTGTATTTTGCAAGGAAAAGAAAGTTTTCGTTCAAAATGTTGGATAAAGAAACAATGTACAGTATGGGTCTCTTTAAAAATTGTAGTTTTTAATCTTTAGTTGGTGTAATTATTTCGTGTTCTCATTCTCATATTGATAAGGCAAGTTAATTACTGGAAAGAAGGTAGCTGATAGGAAAGAACCTACTTTAGAAATAATTGTAATTTTTCTTTTTTCTTGTGTTTAGAACCAAAAGTAAAAAAATTTTAAAGTACTTAAACCCAAATTAGTTTTGGGTTTTAACAGTGTGTTAAAGCTCAAATTAGTTTTGGGTCTTCAGTTAATAAATCGAAAGAATTTGTTGATATTCTTGGACCGAATGGTCGAGATTACGTGCAGGCGATTTTGTAAAATTATTGAAGTACTCGAGAATCATTTAATGGTACTTGATAGTTGGAAATATAACGGAAGTAGACCGAGTTGTAAAGTTGCACCCAGCACGAAGTCTTTGTGTTCCATTTAAGATAATTTAAAGTTCTGTACTAGGAATTTAAGCTCCACAATTGCAGAAAATTAGTATATAATTGTTTCTAGAATTATTATTATTATTATTAGCGTTTTCATTATCATTATCCTTTACGGAAGTACTGTTCTCAATTGTTTAATTTTGTCCTTTACTGACACACGATTTTATAATGATTGTCGTTTTTCAATCAATTTTTTTAAAGCATAGTTTGATACGGATGGTACACTGAGAAGAATAAGTGTGCTGTCGTCGATATAATTTTTATGATCATTTTAGTTGAGTCAAAAAACTTGTTTTAAGTGAAAAATTAACGGGTTGATTGCATGGCTCTAACGAAAAATTTATTTGTAGCTAAGGAAGACTTTTGGTTTTCTTTTTTGGAAAACCAAAAATTTTTGTTGGTGGAATTGTAAAGATAATTTTTTCTATTCCTTTAAGATAAAGATTTGGGTTTAAAGGACATTGTTATTTTTAAAAATCAAAAAGTGGAGAAAGAAAAACTTACGATAATTAAACTTGTTCCTGAGGACTGTTGAATTGTGTTTGATGAATATTTTCCCTAACGTCTATTACAATTTCGGGTCTCGGTGGTATTCTCGGCGGTGGTGGAGGTGATATTCTCAAAGCGTTTTCCTTTTTTCGGTGCTCTGCACTTCTGGACGGATCTTCTTCCTGTAGGACGAATGTTGTCCTTTTTTGCATATCCTGTTTATTTTTGTTTTTTTCACTAAGACTAGATCTCCTTGGCAGATGATGGGAATTTGGAGGCTCGTGCATCCTTTCTGGCGTTTCTGAATACTTCATTTGTCTGATGATAGGAAAAACAAATTTTGTTTCAATTGTTGAACAATAAATAATTTTAATAATTGAATAATAAAAGTTGGGTATTTTTTGGAAAAGAAAATTGTGTTATAGTATAATTAACCGTAACTAAAATATGAGCAACTACATTTGCTTTTTGCTAAAATTGGTTTTTTAATTATTGAAGAAGCAAAAGAAGAAGAAGTTTTATTGCAACTTTTCCAAACAATGTCCGTTATTTTTTCTAGAGGCAAATATAATTACTTTAATTCGAGTGTTGAATTTGAGGATGAATTCTTTATGTTCCCAAGTAGACTATCAATTTTCACAGCCTCTAGTGTTGTTCTCGATGCTTCGCGTTGCATTTTTTTCTCCTCCTTTCCATGAAGACTCGATCTTCTGTTTTTCCTTAGACTTGAATTTATACCCTCGAGGACTTTCACATAATTTTCTTCGCCATCATTTGCCTGATTCTTTGAATTGTAGGAGGAATTTCTTCCAAAGTTCACTGGTTCTGGTGTCTGGGAATTAAAATGATTTTTGTATAAAAAATAGCAGAACATTTTATTGAAGAAAATACAAAATAAAAACACAGACAAAACAAAATAAATCAGATTGGAAAAATTGTTTTAGTTTTAAAACATTTGGATTTGAAACATTTCCAAACATTTTTATGCACACAGTTTTCTGAGGATATCAAATTGAGACAGAAAACGTATCGAAACGTTATGCATGGTAACAATTTTGATTCGTTTTTTTTTTGTCTCAATTTGGTATCCTTAGAAAAACTGTGACATTTTTAAATATTTCGAAATATTTTTAAGCATTTCTAAACGTTTACAAATGTTTTTAAATATTTATGAACAGTTTTGAATATTTCCAAACATTTTTCAACATATATAAACAATTTCAAACATTTCTAATCATATCTAAACATTTGTAAACATTTAAAAACATTTTCAAACATATCTGAACATTTTTAAAATTTTCAAACAGTTTGAAATACTTCTTTTAAACATTTCGAAACATTTTAGAGTAGATTGTCAATTTTAGAGTAGATTGTCTACTAAAATGTCTTGTAAATTTTTGGGTGCTCTTTTGTCATTGCGAAACCAATTATGTACCTCGTCGTGAGTGTAAAATGTCGCAAGCTTTTGATCGTTTGGATTGTTTATGCTTTCACGTCTCGATGGCGAGTCATCAGGGCCAGTAATCATCACTGGAATTGGTGTGGGTGGTGTAGGTGCATGCATGTGTAAACCACCAGTAGATGATGCCAAACTTGAGCCGGAAGCGGAAGTTAAAGAACTGCTGGAATTGTCTCGATAGGCTGGAAACGTTCCCGTACTCATGTGCTCTAAAAAATCAAAAAAAATCTTCAGTAATTAATTTTCTTTTTTTAGAAAACTAACATTAGCAAACTTTTCCGAAACCGTTTAAAAAACAATAGAGAAAATTAAGAAATAATAGTTAAAATTAAAGAAATTGAATTTATCTATCTAAGGAAAAATTTACTGTTAAACCTGGACTTTAGTAAATTTTTGATTTACTAAACCGTTTGTTTGAATTTTTTTCCCCGTTTTTTCTAACCATTAAAGTGAGAGAAAACTTTATTTGTTTTTAAAGAACCATTAACAGATACTTTTGCTTTCCTTATGTGAAGTGCTGATTAAGTAATTGTCGCGTGTTTTAAGGAGAGTATACCCACAGATTCAATAAACTCAATTAAATGTAATTGAGGTCAATTAACCCATTTCTCAACCTTTTGCAAGCTCTGGTCAAACTAATAATTCTTCTTCTAAAATGTCAAACCCCTCTCTTTTAATCAAATAATAAATCATATGAGAAAACAAGTACTGCAATCATCAATTTCTTCAAAAATTATTTATTTCTTTTTTTCACTCTTTCTATATTAAATGATATAATATGGAAATTATTAAATTATATCGTTTAAATTGAAATTTACGGTTCTTTTAGAAAACAAATATTTACATTTATTAAAATGAATATTCGTTCCTTTTACAAAAAATAATTTACGGAGCTTTTGAAGACAAATGTCTTTAAAAGCTCTTTTAAGAGGGAATATTTAATTTATTTTTAATCGTTTTAAATTTAAATCTTTTTTTTTTCTTTTTGAAAAAGAAATATTTTTTTGAAATGATTTCGAGTTATGAGAATTAAAAAAATTGGCATCACCTCCTTTTGCATGATGCAGGGCTTTGACTTGGTCCAATTGCAATGCAGAGCAAAGTGGCGTGTCCACTTCGTAAGTGTTATTGAAAAGTGTATAATTCACTTCATATTCGCCAGTTTCTTTTCGAAAATGAATTATATTTTCGAATCTATGGCCCCACAGTATTTCCGAAGGAAGATACGAACTCCTTGCTTGTGTTGTCATACCAGTTGACTCAATTACACCTGAAATGTGACAATTCAAATCATTAAAATCATATTTTCTGGTTTTCATCTAAAAAAATTATTTCCGCAACATTTACTTCATAACGTTAATTATTTACAATGAACTAAATAAAATTTTATTTAAGCCAAACAAAATTTATTTGTAATAAATAAAAAATTTAGTAGGTTTACTCTAGGTGTAAAAATATTTCTTTTATATTGTCAAAAATTTTTTATTTGTTTCAAATAAAGTTCACTTGAAACAAATTAAAAGTTTAGTATAGGCTCTGAGTCAAATATTTTTTCTCTGGGTGTATCTTTCTCCTGGGTGTAAAAAAATATGTTTACTACCGTGAAAAATTTGTTTTCCATTGTCAAAAACATTTGATTTGGTTCAAATAAATTTTATTTAGTTCAAATAACATTTTTTTAATCAAATAAAAAGTTTAGTAGGCTTTGAGTAAAATATATCTTTTTTTTTGGATGGGTGTAAAAAAATTTGTTTACTACCGTCAAAAAAATTATATCAATAAAAAATTTTATTGATAAATGGAAAGAGCCATTATTATATTGATCCATTAAAGAACCGATAAAGAACAATAATGAACATACACAAATATGAACCGAATATATTTTATTTATTTAAAAAATAATTTTCTCGAGAGTAATAAAAATAAATTATATTCGAAGGTTATGCGGCGATTTAATTATTAAAATGATAGTAATTTTATCGATGCATTCCATGAATATAAAGTTAAATGTACATTTATTTCCCTCATATATGGGAAAGATGATTATGCAACTTAATCAATAGCAATTATTATTCTATAAAAATGATTCTAAGTACACAATTAAATATTCTTGTTTATTGACGCGAGTTTTATTTAATTATCAATTTTTTTTTTACTATTATTTTACCTTCTAACATTACGACAATTTCAAATCTCTCGTGAAGCATATCGCTTGCCGAGAGTCTGTAGAGAGGTGAATTTTCATCAATTTTATGAACTATTGTCGTTGGCCAAATGAAGAAAATTTTATCTTCCTCCCCATCGCCACCGACTTTTAATTCGGTTTGGAAAAATGGGAGAGTCTCTCCTTCTCTCGTCACCTGTAATCAGTGAATTTCGATGTTAATTTAATTTCAATTCCAATTAATTCTAACTTAATTTCAATTTAAAAGTACAATTTCATTCCAATTGAATTTCAATCCAATTTCAATTCAATTTAATTTCAGTTCAATTTAATTTTAACTTAATTTCAATACAATTTCAATTTTAATTCAGTTCAATTTCAACTCAATTACAATTTAATTTATTCAAATTTATTTTCAATTCAATTCAAAATGATTTCAATTTGATTTTAATTCATTTTTAACTCAATTTTATTTCAATACAATTTAATTTTAATTCACCTTAATTTAATTTTAATTCACCTTAATTTAATTTAAATCCAGTTTTAATTAAATTTAATTTGTTTCTAATTTCAATTCAATTTAAATTAAATTGAATTGAAATTGTATGAAAATTGAATTTTAATTCAATTTAATTCAAATTCAATATTAATACCTACAATTTTAATTATTTTAAATTTAATTTCAATTTCATTTCAATTTAATTCTAACTTAATTTCAATTTCAATTCAATTTAATTCTAACTTAATTTCAATTTCAATTCAGTTCAATTTCATTCTAATTGATTTATTTTTTCTAATTGTATCAAAATTGAATTTTAATTCAATTTAATTCAAATTCAATATTAATACAATTTAAATTATTTTTAATTTAAATTCAATTTTAATTCCAGTTCAATTTAATTTGAATCCAATTTGATTTCAATTTAATTTCAATTGAAATTCAATGTTATTTCAATTCAATTTCAATTTAATTTAAATCTAACTTGATTTCAATTTCATTCAAATTTATTTTTAATTCATCAATTCAAATTAATTTCAATTTAAACTCAATGTTATTTCAATTCAATTTGATTTCAATTAAATTTAAATTTAATTTAATTCTAACTTAATTTGAATTTCATTCAAATTTATTTTCAATTCAATTCAAATTGGTTTTAATTTATTTTTAATTCAATTAATTTAAATTCAATTAATTTAAATTCAATTTAATTCAAATTCAATATTAATACAAGTTAAATTATTTTTAATTTAAATTCAATTTTAATACAATTTGAATTCAATTTAATTTAAATTCAATTTTCATACAATTTCAATTCAATTTAATTTAAATTCAATTTTCATACAATTTCAATTCAATTTAATTTCAATTCAATTTTCATACAATTTCAATTCAATTTAATTTCAATTTTCATACAATTTCAATTTAATTTAATTTAAATTTAATTGCAATACAATTTAATTTCAATGCAATTTAAATTCAATACAATTTAATTGTTAATTAATAATTTGTTCAATTGGAAATTGAAATATTTAAGAGATTCCCTTTAAATATTCTATGTTATTTGAATGTAATATGAATATAATTTAAATCTATTTAATTAATTATAATTAAACTAGGTATTAATTTTAATTGAAATATTTTTTAAAATTTAAAAAAAAAAATTTTTGTTATTTTTTTGGTTTTAAAAAAATAAATCACCTTCTTTCTGATCATTTGTGCCCTGACGTGTGCTTCTATAATGTGACTTTTTCTCATGTCACCGACTCGAAACATAAGACAGGGCTGACCATCCCTCTGGCAAATAACTGCATTTCTTGAAAAAAGTAACGTTTGCGTTCTTTTCTTAGGTCTTGATAATTTTGCAAAAACAATGCCCACCATAAAAGCCTGTAGAATAACTCCTGTCATGGATTGAATGCACATAATAAAAATTGCCTCTGGACATTCTTCAGTCGTGTGCTTTGAACCATAACTGAAATTCAAAATTCATTTTTTAATCTCGTAATTTTTTTTATTTACAATTTTTTTTAACTAAAAACCTTTCCTTAGGAAAAATGTTCCTAGAGTTTCAAACTTTTAAATGAATGACGATTTTTACTGTCTTTAATTTTTATTTTATAAAAAAGATAATTAAAAAAATAGTAAAAAAAAATTATGTTCAACAATAAGAAAATTAATTTTTAGAAAAGAAAAAAGAAAAATTATTTAAATATAAAATAATTTAAAAAAATAGTTAAAGAAAATTATGTTCTACAATATGAAAATTAATTCTTAACTTGTAAGATAAACTTTTCATTTATATTATTATTTTATTCAGGAGGATAATTGAAAATATTTTAACAGAAAAAAAATCGTTGATTTGAACGTTTGCTTGTACAAATTTATATTTTCATGTGATTGAAAAATTAATTGAAAATTCAATTGAATTATAATAATTATAACTAACAATATAATAAATTAATAAAAATTAGTACCTAATTAAATATGGAAAATAGTAATTTTTATAATGAATTAATAAAAATTAGAACCTAATTAAATATGGAAAATAGTAATTGAAAAACTTACCCAATTGTATGTTGTGTTTCGACGGAAAATAAAAAACAACTTGTAAATCCGTGAATATCAACGACACACGGTGTAAAAGTGATGTTGGGATTGTCGTAATTTTTTGAATCGAGATCACCATGCGTGTAGACAATGAGCCACCAAACGAGTGCAAAACCAAGCCATGAGAGTAGAAAATTCATGGAAAACACCAAAAGAGTCCAGCGCCATTGTGCGTCTACCAATGTTGTGAAAATATCCTGACAAATGTGCAATAATTTTTTTTTCTGTTTTCATCCACTAACATTTTTAACAAAACAATTTTTAAAATTCAACTGTTTTCATTGGAAACATTTTTCAATGTTAAAGAAACAGATTTTATTTTTTAAATTTTCGGAAAATATTTCCTAATAATTCCAATAATATTCCAATAATATTATTATTTATTATTCCAATAATATAATAATTGATTTTATTATTTTTAAAAAATGTTTTTCTATTAATGTGTTAATTAATATCTACAATGTTAAAAATGTTTACATTCTGCTCAAAGATTTAAAAAAAATTTTTTGTTTTCAATTTTTTTTGTTGCAACTCTTAATTGTTTGAAAATGTATTTTCTTATTTTGTGTTGAAACAATGCAAACTGCATTCATTACTCATGTTCTGACTTGAAGCCAAATAGAAGACACGTGTTGCATTTTGAATATAACAAGTAGACTAGAGTTTATGTTTCTTTAAGAATTTATATATATTTTTTTAAAGTTTTTTTAAAAGTTTTTGTATATTTTTATATAATACCATCTAGAGACATTTTTTATTAAAACCAAATATACTTTTAGTTGAATCAGATAAAAGTGTTTTTCTACTAAATTTATTTATTTGAACCAAACAAAACTTTATTTAGTACATTAGTACAAATAAAATTTTTACTTGAACCAAATAAAATTTATTTATAGCAATTAGCATAAATAAAATTTTTATTTAAACCAAATAAAGTTTTAACTTGAACCAAAGACATAATAAATTTATTTATACAAGTAAAATCTTTGGTATAAACTACAAATAAAGTTTTTAGTTCAACCAAATAAAATTTATTTGAAACAAATAAATAATTTCGTAGGTTTTGAGTCAAGTGTATCTTTTTTCTAATATTTTAATATATTTTTATAATAATGTGAATATTACCTATATAAACTAAGTGATTATTTAACAGTTTTTTTTTAATTTAATAGATATTTTTTGAAAATCTTTGATTTTATTTTAGTAACGATTCTACTCTAAATTTACAATAATCTTTTTTTAAAAGTACTACCTGCAAATAGCGTCTTCGTCTTTTTGCAACATTTCCTTGAACAACATTACAATCCCCGTGTTTGAATACCACCCTTTTTCGAAGTCGTTTTGAGCTGAATTTTGCATGTTTATATCTGAAAAATATTTCATATTTTATTATTTGGTTTATATTTTTTAAATTTATTTAAAATTATTTATATTTTTACAATTTATACAATAATTAATATACATTCTTTTAAATTTATATTGTTGACAACAAAACATTCGGTTTATATTTGACAGCCAATTTCTTTTATTGATTCAGCAAAATTTTTTATTCATCCAACCAATTTTTTTTATTGATCCAGCAAAATTTTCTTTTTTCTCCAACAAAATTTTTTACTGATCAAGAAAAATGTGCTACCAACCCAACCAATTTTTTGTTGTCTCTCAAGAGAATTTAAAATAAAATTTTGTTTAAATTAACTAAAAATACTATTCCCCTAAATCTGATGATTAAAAATAACTGAAATCTTGGCAGACTTAATTACTTCATCGATTTGTGAAAATAAAATTCACTAAAAAAATTTTTTTATTCTAACTAAATGGAAAATATTATTAATTTATTATTATTAATGTATGAATAATAATAAATATTGAGTAATAAATAATAAAATAAATAATTAAAACAAAATATAAACTAAAAATTTTTTGTTTGAAACAATGAAATTTTAGTTGAAGGAACGAAATAAATTTATTGCTACACACATGCACCCAGAAACCAAAATTTTTGACTCCGAATATTTATTTGTTTCAAATACATTTTATTTGGTTTAAATAAAAATTAATTAAAACAAATAAAAAGTCTAGTTAGCTCCGAATCAAAATCTTTCTTCTGGGTATAATTGATTTAAATAAAATTTTTCTCTATGGATGTAATGCATATTTATTTGGTTGATTGGACTAAAGTTTGATTGTTTCAAATAAATTTTTCTTTAAATGCAGAATATTACCTTGAAACATTTTTTTCTAATCAAATCAATTAATTAATTAAATTAATTGATTAAATTGATGGTTTAATTAATTAATTAAATTAATTAGATTGGTTCAATTAATTAATAATTAATTAATTTAATTAGTTTAATATTATAATTAAATTAATAAATTTTCTAAATATATTAAATAATAAAGCGATAATTTGAAAAAATTTTTATTCGTTTTTTATTTTAAAAAAGTAGAAAATAATCTGTGTGTCTGGATGAAGATGAAATTTGACAGACATTTGAGTTGTATAATAAAATGATTAAAAGTTAGTTTTAAATTGGCAGAATATTGTCGAGTTGAAAATATAATTGAGATAATGTCAAAAAGGAGAAGATACGAAAGATTTACAGTCCAGACGTCTAGTTTTCTTGTTGAAGACACAAAGCAAGAACAGGGCATTTTGCCAAGAAAGTTTGTGCGGAAAAACTATCGATAGAGAACCTTAGCCAAAGTTGCCACTTTAAACTAAATCCTAGGTCAGGGACATTTGATTTTTATCTTCCTTACTTTTCATTTTTGATCACATCAGAATTTAATTGACCATTACATTTGAGTTTAATTATGTGTATAAACGATTCAAATATTAAAATAATAGTTTTATGAATTTTTATCTTTTTTCAATTTTTTATTTGAATGAATATTTAAATTTTACACTAAAATAATTGTTTTATGAATTTTTCTCTTGTTGTTAGTTTCATAATTTTTCGAACGATTTTAAAGAGAAAAGATAAAATTATTTAATTAAATGAATACCTAATCGTTTTATGAATTTTTATCTATTTTTCAATTTCAATTTCATCACAATATATTTTGTACTTATTGATTTTTATTGAATTATTTATCTATACTTTTAATTTTTTTTTATTTATTCGGAAGTTTGGAAAATGCATTTTAAATATTAATTGAGACAAAAAATGACAATCGCCAGATGATAATAATTTTTATATTTTATTTTATACAATTTTATCATCTGGTAAGATGATTTTTCTCTTTTAGCAATTAGCGAATTTCAACTTGACATTTAAAGTGTGAGGAAAATATTAAAGATTTTCTGAGAAAAGACAGACAGACGTTATATATTAAATTCATTCAAGAATAATAGTGATATTAATTTTAGTGACATTTTATGAAAATGTTTATTTATTATATATTATTTTAACATCTTTATTTCTAAATTTACTTTTCGATTAATAGCTTAGTTTATACAAAACATCTAAAAATTTAGAAAACTATTTTTGCATCCGTATAAAATTGTCTACGAATGACAAATGAAAATTTCAATTTTAAAAAATAGACGTTAAAAATTATTATTGAAATTTGAAATTGAAAAAAAATCGATAGTCTCAAAATTTATATACTTCCATTAATTAAAAAATAACAATTTTTTAACTATTTTAATTAAAATATTTTCTTATTTTATTTATTTACATATCTTTGCACTTTTTTTCTTGCTTCTTTTAGTTTTTAATTTATTTATTTAAACACTGGACGGACTTATAAATAAAATAAAACACCATATTTTTTTTTAAATCTTTTTATATTAATTAATTAGTTAATTAATTTCTATTGCCATTTAATTTTTTTATTACTATCAGTATTAAATAATTATAATTATAAAAATAAAAAACAATATTATTTTTCTTAAAAAATGAAAAATTGACAGTTATTTCTATAAAATTGAATTTTCAAGGGTTTTTTTTTAAGAAATAAATTTCTTTGAATTAAATTAAATAAAAATAATTTATTATAGTACACAATATATAGAATTAAAATAATACATAACGAAGATGTATATGCTTATACGCAGCGTTCCAAATCCACGTTTCGCATTCGTTGACCCTGACACGTTGATCTAAGTTGAAAATAGATTTAAATTTTCTTAGAAGAAAATTGTGAAAATTAATTCCAATTAATACTTTTTAAAATATAGCGAATCTTTTATTATTGAATCAAAAATGATTTATTAAATTTCAGAGAAATTATATATGTAAAATTGTAAACCTTTTCAATATTAAGTGGTGAATCGTTTTAACTTATGAGCACAATTATTATTAATAATAATAATTATTATTAATATTGATAATAATTAATTAATAATAATATTAATAATTATAATTAGACAACTTTTATTTGGATTTTCAAAAATTACTGACTTATAAAAAGCAAAGACTAAATTATTAATAATTTAAATAAATAATTATAATTAAGAATTATAATTAGTAATTATAATATTCAAAGAGTCAGAAAATTCCCTTAAACATTTTTTTTAATTGACAGAAAATTTGTATTCTGTCAGTAATTATAATATTTACAATTATAATTTTTATTAATTTATGATTAATAATTCGTTTTATTATTATTTCTATTTTCGTCACAAATGTAAATATATACAATCTTATTATTAAAAGACAAATAAGAATATTAATTAATACAGGTGTTGATTAATATTAATTACTATATCAATTTCTTTCAATTAATACTGAATTAAAAACATTACATCAGGCCTTTATTAATTATCATTAATTAAAATATTGTTGAATATTTTGCCTTTAGGGAAATTATTATATATTTTTTCAATTGCGTGAGATTATTATTGTCAGTCTCGTTAATTTATTTAAAGACGCACACGCGATCATATCAAACTTATTGAAACCTTACAATTTAGTGAATCATCGCATTGATAAGAACATGAATGACGATGAAGTAAATGAGTAGACGAGTTTGTATGCATATATACTAATATAAAAGACTGCAATTAACATTTTAAAGAACGTAGATTATTTTACCCTTTTTGTTTTTGCAAACGATAAATATGCAAAAAAAATAATAATAAACCATTTAATTATGAAAAAAAAGAAGTTTATTTCCTTATAATAGACATTCGAGTTAGAGAGATGCTGGTCAGTCACCCCAATTTTAGTATTTTAAAAATGAATTAGTATTTCAATAGCGAATGAAATTAGTTTTATTTTTAATATTTGATTATGTCAATTTTTTTATTCATTTTCTTTATTTTTATTACAATTTTATTTATTATTTTATTTTCATTTTTTTAATTATTTTATTGTTTACTTTTTATTTATTTATTTTTGTTTTATTTTTATTATTTTATTGTTTACTTTTTATTTATTTATTTTTATTTTATTTTTATTTACAAATTTTTTATAATTATTCATTGAATTATTATTTATTAATTTTTTTGAAAGTATTTTTGAAATTATTTCCCTGAAAGTATATTGTTTTCAAGAAAATTTATAGATCAACGTGTTAATTACAAGAAAATAAATAATCTATAAACAATTTAATAGAAAAAAATATTTATAAGGAAAAAATGTTTCAATATGAAGAATATACCCTGAAAAAAATTAAGTTGATTCAAATAATCGATTATTTGTCAACTATCAAATAAATATTTACTTGAATCGAATAATTTTTATTTCAATCATTAAAAGGAATTTGCCTCAAATACTGAATTTATTGATTAAAATTTAGAATACAATTTAATTGACTCAAAAATTATATGATTCAAGTAAATATTAATTAAAATTGTACTGAAAGAAATTGAAATTCTGTGATAAGTTTTATTATTTATCAAAATAACTGAATTTCTAAAAATAAATTTATTATTTATGGAAATAATTAAATCCCTGAAAAGAATTTTAATAATTATGAAAATAATTGAATTAGTACGAACAATTTTATAACAAATTTAAGAAATGGTTTTTTAAAAAATTTGTTATGACAATTCTATTTTATATAATTGAATTGCTATGAAATTTTTATTATTTTTGAAAATAATTTAATGTTCGTGTAGAATTTTATCAAAAATTTTGTTTAAATAATAGAAATGTGTCATGAGTTTTATTAAAATTTTTGAAAATAATTGAATTTCTGAGAAGAATTTTATTACTTTTGAAAATAATTGAACTTTTGTGATGAATACTATTATTTATGAAAATAATTGAATTTTGCAATGAATTTTATTAAAATCCCTGAAAATAATTGCACAGTTTTTCTAAGGATATCAAATTGAGACAAAAAACGAATCAAAAATGTTGCATCGCAACATTTTTTATTCGTTTTTTGTCTCAATTTAATATCCTTAGAAAAA